GTCATGAAGGGCAAAATTAGCTATATAGACCAAAATCACTTTTTGTACCAGGCTGTAAACATATTCTTTTCTGCTGTAAAGTTGGGCATTTTAACATTGGTGGTCTATGGGATGGACTCTCTTTCGGAGCCTGTCTCTAGCGGCCCGTCGATGAATTGCAATTTAAGTTACTTCCGTGTTGGATTCAAGAGGGACCGGAATGTTGCCGCTTGATCAGGATAGCCCTGCGTCTCAATATCCATACTTTCCAAGCTAAGTATGTGAGATTCAAATAAGTGTGTCCCAAAGCATAGTATGTTGAAAAGAGTATGCCAGAAGTCCCCGGATGGTCTACTATATCCGGTGGATTTTCGGAGTGTGGATCATAGACAGTAAAAGAAATGGACAGAGCGATCTCATTGGAACTCAGTTGAGACAGTTGAAGCCCACTTTTAGCGATTTTTGAGAACTTCCGTTCCTGACGCGCAGACTCCAACCGACTCAAACTAAGCTTGATGACGTGAGCAACCTGTCTGACAGACGTTAATCTTCTAGTAGCTGTGCGTGAAAACTGCCAATGTTAATCTTGCAGAGACGGGGAACTTGAGCAAAGAGTTATTTGGCGTGAGTGAGCAGGAGTAAGTATTCCGTTGCTTTTATGGACTCATTATCTATGGGCTTCTCCCTTGACGGGACGTCCCCCCGATTGCCTGCGAGCTTCTCCTCCTGTCTCTACGGTAATTTCTGTACAGCGCGACAGAGAGTCGAGTGGTTATGACGCAATCGTTAGCCTATTTTTACTAAATCTGTTTCTACGGGGCCATAATGTAACATAGAAGGTAATGGAGCCCTTTATACATTGTCGTGTTTCTTTAGAAATAAATAATGGACAAATGGAGTCTTTAAACGCCTCAGATGTAAAGTTATTCGCTGTCAAAGTGACGCCAAAATGACTGGGAGTCAATGGAAATGCTAACGCAAGTGAAGTTCTGCTACAACATGGCGGCTCCCGGCCGGCTTCAACTTCCGGTCGATGGATTACCCCCTTGGGTGTGGATCCGTGCTCACTGGCTGCAGCCTGCATGCATTCCACTCAAGGGGGTAATCCATCGACCGGAAGTTGAAGCCGGCCGGGTGCCGCCATGTTGTAGCAGAACTTCACTTGCGTTAGCATTTCCATTGACTCCCATTCATTTTGGCGTCACTTTGACAGCGAATAACTTTACATCTGAGGCGTTTAAAGACTCCATTTGTCCATTATTTATTTCTAAAGAAACACGACAATGTATAAAGGGCTCCCTTACCTTCTATGTTACATTATGGCCCCGCAGAAACAGATTTAGTAAAAATAGGCTAACGATTGCGTCATAACCACTCGACTCTCTGTCGCGCTGTACAGAAATTACCGTACAGACAGGAGGAGAAGCTCGCAGGCAATCGGGGGGACGTCCCGTCAAGGGAGAAGCCCATAGATAATGAGTCCATAAAAGCAACGGAATACTTACTCCTGCTCACTCACGCCAAAGAACTCTTTGCTCAAGTTCCCCGTCTCTGCAAGATTAACGTTGGCAATTTCACGCACAGCTACTAGAAGATTAACGTCTGTCAGACAGGTTGCTCACGTCATCAAGCTTAGTTTGAGTCGGTTTGAGTCTGCGCGTCAGGAACGGAAGTGCTCAAAAATCGCTAAAAATGGGCTTCAACTGTCTCAACTGAGTTCCAATGAGATGGCTCTGTCCACTTCTTATACTGTCTATGATTCCACTCCCCTTAACTTCCCTCCGTCTCGTTCACTCGGATGTGCGTCATTGCTTATGTTGCACGAGTGCCCACTACTGGCGGAACTTTTTTTTTATTTTTTTTTATTACGCTGTCCTCCATTGTCACTTCATTGTTGAAATGTTCATGTATACTTATTTGTTATTTGATTGTTCTTCTGCAAAAAAAAAAAAAAAAAAAAAAAAACTACTGGCGGAACTCGTAAATAAGGTTTAAATGGAACGCACTACGCCCTTGATCACTTGGAATTCACTTTTGAGCTGATTTAACCCCTTTTTACCTATCAATTTGTTTTATGCACCATTCTATATGCATAAGTTGTTGGAGAAAATATATAAAATCCTACAGGTAGGCTATATGAGCTGTTGGAGAAAAATTAATTTACATGAACGAAAAAAAAATTCAATAGTATAAACTTTGACTGTGAATAAGGTAGCTACAAGTAAGATGCAATTAAATCTCAAAATAATTAATATATACACTATTATGCTACGGAGCCCCGTGCACATGCAAGAAAAAAAAAGTAAATTGTGTGCACGATTTACTGATTCATTCCCTTGATTTACTAAAACATCTGCACAATTTACTGTTTCGTTCCCTCGATTTGCAAATTGTGCAGACGATTAACTAATTTGTTCCTTCGATTTATAAATCGTGTGCACGATAGCAAATCAAGGGAACGAAATAGTTAAATCGTGGGCACTATTTAGTAAATCGTGCCTATATTTAGCCTACTATTTTTTTTCCCGCATGTCATGTGCGGGGAACCATAGTGGAACGCAGCCTATAACACCTAATATTGCCCACAACCCATTGTGCTTTGGAGGAGGATCCAGTTCAGAACTACAAACACAAGTTAAAAACTGTTCAGAATGCTACAAAACATGGCGGATATGCGCGACTGACGGTTAAAGGAGCTGTATGTAAGAAATTTATTTCAATTAATCATAAAATGGCCCTGATATGTCACTAGACATTAAGAAATCATGTTCACTACAAATACTTATATCACTGACAACAGTAGTCCGGCCAGGATATTGTCATTTAAAAAGTGAAGTTGCAGCCCTCAACTGATGTTGATGTTGTCATGTTGTGTTTTGGTCTGATGCGCCGCCCTCCACCTATCTACCAATCACGAAGTCAGTAGTGTTGAGGCATTCAGGTTGCCAGCTCTGCTCTAGTTACCACAGCTGCAGCTCGTCACGTTCCTGCTGGATCCTGCAGCCTATCTGGCAACCTCGAGTCAGGGGGGAGGGGGAGGGGATACACCGCTCTACAGTCATTTGAAAGTGATTGCAGTACCAGTTTTGGCCACAATCTTACATACGGCTCCTTTAAGGTTTAGATAAAGGGGTTTGAGTGACAAATAATCAACATTTAAGCTGATAAAAAAATATTTAAGTAATGTTATCCATGCATTTCTCTCAGATACAATAGGAAATTAAATTAAATGTGGAGGATTTGATCTTTGACAAGATGATTGACAGGTCAGTTACGTGACAGGATGCGTGTAACTAAGCGACAGAGAGCAACCGTTAAAGATGGTATATGACGTGTATCCCAAAGCGTGTCTACTCACTCAAAGAGTGCTACACACTCAAAAGTATGTACTTTGTCTGCACAAAAATAGTACATACTTTTAGGGCGTAGTATAAGTAGGTAGCCTGGATGCCAGCCGAACTTAGCCCCACCCACAACATTCGAGGTCGGGAAGTTCGGTCTGAACTTTATCCATTGTGGAGCAACTATGCTCGAACCAGAGCTGTTCGGACCAATCAAATTATCAGGCTGGGCTTTATACGATGATGGACAGATGATCAACAGTAACGTAATCATCCACGTCACCAAAGAGCGCTTGGGTTGAATTCGTTTACAACAAAGGTGGCTGCCGCTGGAGAATTGAGATGTGTAGATTCCGCCATCACGCCCGTTATATATGCAAGGCCAGAAGGGCCAAAATGTGTGAAACTGTCGTGTAAACATGTAAATTACACGTTAACGTGGAAGGCCAGAAGGGCCAAAACGTGTGAAACTGTCGTGTAAACATGCAAAATTACGCGTTAACGTGAAAGGCCAGAGGGCCAAAACGTGTGAAACTGTCGTGTAAACAAGTAATTACGCGTTAACACGCAGTTTACGCGTTAACATGTATTTACGTGTTAACGCGTAAATTGCCTGTTAACGCGTAAATTATTGGACATTAGCACCACCTACTGGTTTTCTACGCGTAAGTACGTGTTTACACGACAGTTTCACACGTTTTTGCCCTTCTGGCCTTCCATAGTTATAGAAGATATCGACACCGCATTCATTGATTCATTTATGAGTTATAAAGTCATCGCGAGGTACAACTAAAGTCGCAGTTGCGTGTTTTAAAGTCAGAATTACGAGATATGAACTCGCAATTCTAAGAAATAAAGTCAGAATTGAGAGACAAAAAGTCGCAATTTTATTATTTTTTAAATTATTTTATCATTGTTGTCACACAATCACTTTTATGCAATACACAATGAATATCAAATTACAAAATGTGGAGAGGAAATATGGGGAAAAGGTATGAGAGGACAATAATACAATTAATAATTTAAATGTTACTTAAAGATACTTAAATATTTTTTTAAACCAAGAAGTAACTGAACTCAACATTATACTTTATTTATATATGAAAAAACGTATAAAGGGATCAGTATTAAATATGAAAATGTGAAAAAATATGAATATCAATATTATGTATTCATTTCCATTGCATAAAAGTAGACTATCCATATGGAATACTCCATTTTAATAGTGAATGTTGTCAAACACTGCTGTGTGTTATTTAGCAATAATTAATCTTGTATCTAGGAATAAAATCTGTGTATGCAGCAGGTACACATTCTCAATTAACACCACAGAACAAACGCTTCTCATTCACTAAGTTATATGCCTATTAATTTACATTATGCATTATAGATATTTTTATAAATGAACCACCAGCAGAATAGAACCAGTTTAGGAAAGTTTATGCAACTTAATTTAATTGGAATTTTACTGATATCAAAATTTTATTTCAGGAGAAATGTGCCCTGAAATTAAGAAGAAGAAGAAGAAGATGATGATGATGATGATGATGATGATGATGATGATGATGATGATGGTGATAAGGATTAAAGATCAAATCTGGTCGTTGGTACAGAAAATAATAATTAATCAACATCGCCTCAATACAAACCTTTATTTTGAAAACAGAATATGGGTTATTTTACTTCCGGTGTTCCAGTGCCATTTGAAGGCTGTAGCAGGTTGTGCCTTCCTTAGCAAAATTATACATCTGTTAACTTCTTTAAATAGTTTTAGCAAGTGAGAGGGATGTTTCGTAGGAAGCTTTCAGCCTTAGAGTATCACAACCCAACTGGATTTGACTGTAAAGGTAGGAATCTGTCATAAATGAAAGACGTGTTGCCACCTCATGCTCCTAATACTGATCATGTCCATTCAGGAGAATACCAACAGAGCATTTATCGTTCACAACTAGGTTTAATCTATTATGTTAATTGTATTATTAATATTGTGTGTGCTCTTTACTTCACCCAGATGAAACGGAATTCAGAAATTTCATAGTTTGGCTGGAAGATCAAAAAATCAGACACTACAAAATTGAAGACCGGGGAAATCTTAGGAATATTCCCAGCTCAGACTGGCCTAAATATTTTGAAAAGGTGAAACTAATATATATCAACAGATTTATTTTCATTTGTATGTGTTTAGTGTATATGTAGGCCTAAAGTAAGGTTTTTATACCGTTATTATTATGTATATTATGTATTAATTGGTGTTGTGTGTTTGTAGTACCTCCAAGATGTGAACTGTCCATTCAGCGTTCAGGAAAGACCAGAGAGCGTTGACTGGCTACTGGGTCTTGCTGTTCGTTTTGAATATGGAGACAATGGTATGATTATTTATTTGAGATTAAAACCAGTAGTCGACCAATATTGTTTTGTTTTGTTTTTTGTTTTTTGTTTAAAGGCCAATCAATATCTAGAGAGCGGTTTGGCTGATATACACTAGATACACTACCACTCAAAAGTTGTTGCTTTTAAAATAATAATTAAAAAAAAAATGTTAATACAAATTTACCATTGATTTATTTAATTGATCAAAAGTGGCAATAAAGACATTTATAATGTTACAAAAGGTTACTATTTCAAATAAATGCTTTTCTTTTGAACTTTCTATTCAGTCAAAAATCCTGATAAAAGTTTTGCCGTTTTCCACAAAAATATTATGCAACTCTTTTCGACATTGATGATAATAAGAAATGTTTATTGAGCATCAAATCAGCATATTATAATTATTTCTGAAGGATCATGTGACCCTGAAGACTGGAGTAATAATGCTGTAAATTCAGCTTTGATAAATTACATTTATAATATTTCAGCAGTAAAAAAAAAAAAAAAAAATCGAAATGATGTCTTGATAAACATAAGAGACTTTCAAATTACTAACCCCAAACTTTTGAATGGTAGTTTATACAAAAGAAAATAATTATTTACTTTCAAAAAGCAGTTTATCCATGTCATAGTGAAGAAGGTCTAAACTTATCTTAAAGGCACAATGTGTCCGATTTTTGGATTCAAATATCCAAAAACCACTAGAAAAATCTGTTCTGTATTTTGTTGACTTGTGTAATTACACTCTCCCAAATGTTTCCAACAATGTTTAAATCCAGAGAAGTCTATTTTAACTAGTGCAGTAGTATTAAACTTTATTGTCCTCGAAAGGAAATTTGTTGTGGACGACATGTTGCTGCATAGACATATAATAGACCGATAAACAAATAGACATGATAATTATAAAAAAAGTAGTGTACAGTGTAATGGCCCGTGTCATTGCGTCACCTGTCAATGACGTCATATCCACACAACCCTTGATTTCCGTAGAAACCATTGGAACACCAAGACACTTTAATATGTGTTTTATTAAACTGGTGAGCAACTGTTTGGATACATTTATCCACAGAAAACGAATCATTGTTATATAGCTCAACACAGTTAGTCTTATTGTTTGAATTTCATGTTTTCTTGATTTACCGCTAGTAACATGTTTGTACCCTAAAAAGTAAATCAGACAACACTATTTTGTCAAATGGCAAACATGGCATAATCAGAGAGCTTCATTTGTAGTAACAGTAATACAGCATTTCCTTCACCATACAATGTTTTCAAATGAATTACATGCCATTTAGCAACACAAGTCATCCAGCTTTTATTCATTAATGTATGATATTCTAATATCGATCTATCTTACTGCAGTGTGCATCAACAAGTGTCTCATAAAGCCACAGAGTGAAATGCGGCATATGAGCAAAATAAAAACAACAAAGTAAAAAGTCCCAGGCTCTCGTCCCGCCCTGCTTCATACCACTGTAATTAATAAAACTTTAATACATGAACTCATCCATGAACGTGATTTCTGCCTGAGTCCAGTCAACACCGGCCATGATTCCACGCTCATTCACTCATCAAGCTACGCCTTTGTTATTGTTTTTTATAAGAGACCTCTTGCGTGCAACTTACACACTGTGCCTTTAATTTGCCAAGTTAACACAACATGGCCATTATTAGGTACTTAACTTCCATGCTTATACAGTAGTCAACATTTGAAGTGGATCAAAACCTTTCATCAAAGTTATACATGAATTTGGTACAATACCCGTTCTTGTCTTAGGACAACTTTGAGTAACTTTTTTGATCCACTTCAAATGTTGACTACTGTATATTGGTGTATCACTAGTTGTAACACCTATTTTGTCCTTTTATTGGTGAGACTTCCCCATTGAAAGCTGTTTAGCAATTATGTTCAATCTCAAACCACTAGATGGCAGCATTTGCAAAGTGTTTGAATAAAATGTAAAGCTTGCAGCTGTCCCACACATTCGATTGCACAATCTTGATTCCATTTATGTTTAGAGCAAGATGTTCCTAGATATGCTATCAAATAATTTTGACAACTTGAAACCTCTGGTTTCCATCGCACTGACCACTTATGTTATTTTACATCCCACAGTCGAGAAATATCGCAACTGCAAACCTGCAACAGAGGCCAATGATGCACAAAAGTCTGCAGACCCATTAATTAATCTGGACAGTGAGTATTCCCTCCCCCAAACGTCTTTCCAGTCTCCAGTCCTGTTGTTATGAGACGGAGGAGGCTGATTAAAGAAACCAACTCAATCGCTGAAGTAGCTTTCCAAGCATGTCTGAACAAACTGATTACACACCCACCTCTCTCCACAACCCACAATGAGTGGGCTGAACCGAGCCAGTGACCCACAGCTGGAGGAAACCTCCAGATGTCAACTGAATAATGACACACCGGGAGGACCGGGTTCACTGAATGGAAAATATTGGGCTCTGCTGTTGTTGTTTTTTCTTTTCTTTATTATAGTCTTGGTCTGAGTAGTTGATTTCTTTCCACTAATCACAAATCAAGCATTTTTATGGTAACATCATTTTCAGAGATCATGTTTTCTGGTCATTAGTAATTAAACCAAGTCAAACTAGTTTTGCATGGGAAAAAAAGTTTTAAATTATATGTTGGACTGATATTAAATGTGATTTCTCTCTTTAGTTAATAATCCAGATTTTAAGGCTGGTGTCTCGGCTCTCGCTAATCTTCTCAAAATTCAGCGGCATGATGACTATTTGGTAATGCTTAAAGTAAGTATGGTTCGTTTTGTTGATGGTATGAAACATTTCTTTGAATCCAGTGCAATTAAACTCAAGTTATTCTGTCATTTGTCATCACAGGCCATTAGGATCCTGATTCAGGAACGCCTGAACCCTGATGCCATTGCAAAGGCCAGTCAAGCAAAAGAGGTGAGCATTCAATGTTCTTCTGAAATGAAAAAGGCCAGTCGGGAAGATTGTTGTTGAAAGAAATCTCTTATGGTTACCATGGCTGCATTTATTTGATAAAAAAAAATACAGTAAAAACTGTTAAATATTACCACAATTTCAAATACATGTTTTTTTTATTTTAATATATCTTAAAGTGTCATTTATTCCTGTGATGGCAAAGCTGACTTTTCTGCATCATTACTCCAGTCTTCAGTGTCACATGATTCTTCAGAAATCATTCTAATGCTGATTTGATGTTCAAGAAAAAATTCTTATCAATTTTGAAAACAGTTGTGCTGCTTAATATTTTTGTGTAAACTGATACATTTTATTTTATAGGATTCTTTGATAAATTTAAAGTTCAAAAGAACAATTTATTCGAAAAGGAAATCTTTTTTTATCATTATAAATGTTTTTACTGTCACGTTTGAGCTATTTAATGCATCCTTGCTGAATAAAAGTAATAGTTTCTTTAAAAAAATCATAATGAAAGGTTGTTTAGATTTCAAAACATTTGCTTATTTGTCCTTTCGTAGGGTTTACCAGTCGCTCTTGACAAGCATCTTTTAGGATTTGATACCGGAGGTAGGTTTGCACGCACATTCTGCATTTAATTTGCTGTTGACTTTCGGAGGAATTGTAAGCACAAAGAATGTTTGATCGTTCCAGATGCGTCTCTGAACGAAGCGGCCAGAATTCTTCGCTTGCTTCACATCGAGGAGCTCAGAGATTTACAAACAAAGATCAACGAGGCTATCGTGGCAGTTCAGGCCATCATCGCTGACCCCAAGACAGATCACCGCCTCGGAAAGGTGGGCAGATAAAAAACGTCCTGCCAGGATCTTGCTGCAGAGACCTTCTTCACGAGACATGCTTTGTTTTCATTAACCACACCACAGATATTTTGTTTGAATTCAAGGCATTTTTGTGGGAATGCCAAACTGGATTTTTTTTTTTTATAATGCATTTGCTTCCCCCTGTAATAAAAAAAAAAAAATGCACTTATGAAATTTTACATGGGCTGCAATAAAAAGCTGGACTATTTTTTTTTTGTTGCATAATAAACCTTAATGCAACGCAGCAAAGTTTTATGGCCAGACTCTGTTTGTTTTACCCCTGGAGAAAGAAATTCAACTTTATACCTCCAACTGTGCATATACTGTATTCAAGAAAAGAATCACTGCAGAGCCAAAAAATAATGCAAGCAGACATATTAAAAGTTGTCAATCACATTTTATTGTTATAAATATCATTTCTTACAAAAGATAAAAAGGATTAAAAAATTAAGATTGGTAAAAGACCACTTTGGTTGTTCAAAGCAATATTTCTTTTTTACCTTTTCCCCCAAAATACTGTTTTAGTGTTTTTATTAACATACAAATTACTCAACTAAACTCAGGGTATTTTTTTATTATTATTATTTGTTAGGGGTTTTTTATAACAAAAAGTCACATACAAAAATACAGTAGAATGAAATGAGGTATAAAACAAATTTACAAAACTATTTTGAGAAAATATTCACGCTTTCATGTTTGTAAATTTGCACTTTGGCATTGACGGTGACGTTTGTCAAGACTTGCGGGTTCCGCGATCGGCTCTCTCCTGGTCCACGACTCCGCCGCGATTCCCACAGCACCAGCTCTCCAAACGCTCGCCCAAAATAGCACCATGTAACGCTGGCTCTGTTATTAGTGTCTTCCTATAACACAAAACGGGACACTTGTCGGAAATCCTTCACGGAAAGCCAAGTTTGGACAAATGCGAAAACATTTCATTTTCTAGCAGGGGAAATTGCCAGCTTTCATATCCTAGTACAGATATACAAACTCTTACTCTGATCTTGTTTGACTGTTTTCTGGTCTTTAAAAAACTGAAATGCTTTGAAGTACTGGTGCAACACCCGTGTTTCATCGCCTCTGTCAAAACTACAGTGATTTGGAGGCAGGTGCCTTGTACTTTTCTCTTAAGTGCCTGTAGTTGACAGCTCATGTCTGAAAAATGTTATCCTGTTATTTGCTTGAAAAGAGGTCACCCACATTTTGCTACATGGTAAACGTGTGCTTTTAGGTGTACTTTTCGGTTATTATACTACACTAGCAGAAGCCCATTTACAGAGTGCTTTAGTGCTGTCAAATCTAATAATTGAATCTAACTTAAAAGTTTGTGTTCATATAATATATGTGTGTGTATATATATATATATATATATATATATATATATATATATATAGTTGTAAACAAAATTATTCAACCCCCATTTCGAATCAGGTTTATTAGCAAAATGTTAAAGACTTTCAGCTGTTTGCAATGAACAAATCAAACAAGAAAGTGAAATGGCTCAACACAACAGATGTGTCAAGTGGTTTCCCCAAATTCGACAGAAAAAGCAACTTTTAATGACTTCTGCAGTCTCAAAATTATTCAACCCCCTGAATAGAATCCCTCACAACAGCACAAACCTGCAAAACAGGTGTTGTCTCAAACACACTGATGCAACTAATCAAGGGCTTCATTAGTTGCACCAGATGTGCTTTAGCTAGAACACATGAAATATCTGAACTGGCTAAGTTTGTTGAGTGTTACGTTTGACTGCATGTTAGAAATATGGCAAAAGAAAGGTCCAAAAAGTTAAGAGAAGATATAATTGCTCTTCACAAACAAGGAACAAGATAACAAATGCACTAGACGTTCCTAGAGACACCATTGGAAGCATAGTTCACAAGTTCAAAGTTAAAGGAACAGTGATTACACTACCTGGACGGGGCAGAAAAAGGAAGCTATGAACAGCTGCAACCAGATTTCTGAGAAGGCAGGTTCAGAAAAACCCTTGAGTGACTGCAAAAGACCTGCAGCAAGACACAGGTTGCAGCACAGTAAGGCGCGTAATAAATGCATGCGGTTTCCATGCCAGAACTCCCAAGACGTACACCACTACTGACCCAAAAGCACAAGAAAAAAAGCTCAGAATCATAAATAAGGCACATAAGTTTTGAGATTCTGTTCTGTGGAGCGATGAAACAAAACTGGAGCTTTACGGCCCTATGTATCAGCGGTATGTCTGGAGGGAGAAGAATGAAGCATATGCTGAAAAGAACACTCTGTCTACAGTTAAGCATGGTGCCTCTGTGATGCTCTGGGGCTGCTTTGCATCCTCTGGCACTGGAAACCTGCAGCGTGTGGAAGGCAAGATGGATTCATTGAAGTATCAGGAAATCCCAGTAGAAAACGCCATTGGACCATTGGACCCTCTAAAGGCTCGTACACACCGGGATGAATATCGGCGCGCGTTGTTCGGCAGCGTTTTTCAACGCGTTTTTTGTGTTCACACCCAAGTGATTTTCGCTGACGATGAGCCTAGTGAACATGCAAATTCATTCCCTGACATTAGATGGCGCCCATTTGCTCTGCAATACCACTCCATAACATTCTCTTTTATCAAGATTTTTGTAGTCGCTGTCGCGTTTGTCATATAGTTTATGTTCCGACACCAACGAGACCAGCAGCTCTACATTCATCTTGCCTTGCATCTTCCTCGTCTTATTTCTTCCCGGCAGTGTAGACGCTACTTGGCGTATATCTTCTTCGCTGTTACGTGCTCGGCAAAACCGTTTTGTGTTTGAGCGCCCCCAAGTTGTGTTTTACTGTAACTTCAGAAGCTCCAGACACGTGAGCAAAAGCGCCAATCTCATTGGTCGGATAGTTTTTGACGCGGCGCGTCAAACTAAAAAAACGAACCCGAGGCGTTTTTTAAAAAATGACGCTTTTACGCGTGGCGTTTTTCGTGTCGGTGTGCACACTCACATTGGCGCCCTTTGTTTAGTCACGAGGCGTTAAACGTCGGCGAATATCGCGCGCGAAATTCGTCCCGGTGTGAACAGGCCTTAACACGACAAAGATCCCAAGCAAACCTCAAATTCCACCAAGGCTTGGTTGCAGAAGAAGTCCTGGAAGATTCTACATTGGCCATCACAGTACCTGACTTGAGAAAATCTCTGGTGGGATTTGAAGAAGGCGGTTGCATCACGTAAAACCAAGAATATTACTGAACTGGAGGCCATTGCTCATGAGGAATTGGCTAAGATTCCTCAAAACCTCTGCCAGAAGCTGGTGTCTGGTTATACATCTCATTTGCAGCGGGTCATAACAGCAAAAGGGTGTTCTACTAAGTACTAAAGATGCTTGCCATGAAGGGGTTGAATAATTTTGAGACTGCAGAAGTCATTAAAAGTTGCATTTTCAGTTGAATTTGGGGAAACCACTTGAAACATCTGTTAAAAATTAACAAAATTAATTTTGTTTGATTTGTTCAATGCAAACAGCTGAAAGTCTGTACATTTTGGCACTAAACCTGATTTGCATTGGGGGTTGAATAATTTCGATTACAACTGTGTATATATAATTTTGTGTGTGTATAATATATATTAATATATATACACACACACTTTATATAAACAAACTTTTATATACATACTGTATACATATATTTATATAATGGAAAATAATATACTTTACCACTGAAATCTGTAAGCACCTTATAAACAGTGTGGAGGAGCAACTGTAATTCCATACAAATGAGATCTCTGATCAGGCAAGTACTCATCTGTCGACTGGTTATCTCGACTGAGAGCGATGACCCCATCTCTGAAACATCACAGAAGAACATTTTAAATGAGATCAGTTATTTTCATAATAATTTAATTGATGAAGGTACAGTCACACTTGACAAACTGGACCTCACAATAAATATGAATAAGCTTCAGGGTTTCTGTTTTTAATAAACTTTATAAAGGGTATAAAGCTATATTATCTACTCAGTTTCCTGTTTCACTGCAAATCATGTTGCTCTAATGCTTGTATTTAGTATGAATGGAAGTTAATGGAGCACAAAGTCTAGTGTGACACAGAACGTGAAGTGAAACGAGCATGAAGGACTTGCCAACATGGCACTTTTTAAAATTGAATACAGGAACATTCATAAATAGAACTGTTGCATGCTTAGTTAGTATGATAATCTGATGTTTAGTTAAATTAATATGTTTGTTACATTTATAAGATAGAACGAATGCTTGTTACTTTAAGGGTTGTGAACGAGAAAAACAGAAACAATAAAGAAGTCAAGTAAGCTCAAGTACGAGTCGTATTTACAGCCATAACAAGAACTATCTGATAGGTAGTTATGATTCTGATGGTCATTTTGTGTTGGACATGCATGTGCTATGCTTTACCTCCTCCAGTCTGTGTAATAGTAGTGATTGGCGAAGGAGACCATGCTGAAGGGGTAGTTCAGGTTACTGTGGACCACACGTCTCCCTGTCCCGTTAGGTGATATACACTCTAGGCGCTTGGTTCCTGCCCAAAACACAAAAAAGAGGTTATCAACATATTTTGAATGAGCTTTTCAGTCCCGGCCTGTTATTGTGGTATCTAATTCAGATTTACATGGTCAGAATAAGATGCAAAGTGGACCAGACTTTATGTCAAAACCCCAAAATATTGCTGCATAAAAACTAGCCTACATGTGCTTAGCGCATACCTGCATCGGCCCAGCAGACCTGGCGTGTAGTGGAGTCGTAGGCCAAAGCATTGGGAAGTCCAATACCATCCTGTACCAGGACTCTTCGATTTTGTCCATCCACCGAGGAGCTCTCGATTTTAGGAGCTTCTCGGTTCCAGTCAGTCCAGTAGAGGGTTCTGTGAAAAGATCAAGTTTTACTTGCCAGGACATTATGGCAATAGTGGAACTTTTGGTTGACTTTTGTTTAGTCCTGTCAAATTAATTAATCGCGATACATAAATGTTTGTAAATATATATGTGTGTGTATGTATCTATATAGATAAATCGTGATTAATCGATTTGACTGCACTACTTTTTTGTAAAATATAAACTTAAATATAAATATAAATTACGGTTTCCACAAAAATATTCAGCAGCATCATTGATAATAATAAGAACTATTACTAACAATTGAGCATGCTTGCATGTGCAAGTCTAATTCTCTCATATTTAACCATATAGGTTTAACGGTTTTATCAAATTAGTAAAGTCAAAGCTTGAAATAATATGTATTATATTGAGATATAAGACTTTTGACATGGGAGGCAAAATGGTTCACAGTTTGAGATTTTTCAAGAGTTGCAATTCATGTTTT